GCTTAAAGAAAATATTGCTGGTTTCCGAAACACAGGATGTTAAAGTTAAAAATTCAAAAATTATTATTAGCTATAATTTTTTTTATTTAATAGAGGAGAAGGTGGTAATATGGATCCCTGCTGGTAATATGGAACCCTTGGTTAATTCTGAACCGGTAGTGACATCTACTTTAAATATAGCTGAATTACAATTGTCAGTCATAGAAACTGCAGCACATACCGGCAAAACAGAAATCCAACAGTGGCACTTTAGACCAAAAATTTTTTGATGTGAGTTCGTTTCAAGGTAAAAGTAATTTAAGTGCGGTTTTTTGTTGTTTGGTTGTGGTGTCACGTTACCACAAGGTTTTTTTGTGGCAACGTAATAGGTAAGTTTCCATTTCGTATGCTTCACTAGGAAAACATGCCACTGTATTTCAGGCTGAAATACATGCAATCGAATAGTGTGTACGAGAGAATTTAAGAAGGAAGTATAAAAAACAAACCATCCTAATTCTCTCAGATAGCCAAGCAGTCTTAAAGGCTCTTGATTCAAACAGAATCAAATCAAAGCTTGTCTGGAACTGCCTTGGAATACTAAATGATCTGGCAACAGACAACAAGGTAAAACTAGCGTGGGTACCAGGCCACAAAGGTATCCAAGGAAATGAAAAGGCTGATAAACTCGCCAAAGAGGGATCAGATCTACCATTCACAGGACCCGAACCTATATTTGGGATAAGCAAAACCTTTGCTCGACAGGCAGTGAACAGGTGGATAACCACAAAACACCAAATTCACTGGCAAGAGATAAGAGGACACAGAATCAGTAAGTTCATGCTAAGGGGACCAAACCAACGCATGGCTACTGAGGCACTACAACTCGCAAGGTCTCAGATATCTACCATTGTGGGATTACTAACGACACTGCTTCCTGAAACAGCTTCATGTGATGGAATTACACAATGATCCCACTACGTGTAGACTCTGCATGGAAGAGGAAGAAACCTCATACCATGTGATCTTCGAATGCGAAGCTCTTACTAGGCGACGTTTCATTCTTTTCGGCTTAGGACCGGAAAGGACGCCCCAGGAACACTTGGTAGGGAACCTATTAAAACTAAACAAAGACACAGTACTATTCCAAAGATAGTATCTGAATACGGGGAAAGCAGGGGAATACAATAAACCCAAGTGGCCGCAGTGTTCTGGTCCAAACCTAACCCTACCTGCTTACAACCGATAAAGATAAAGAAAGATGCTTCAGAAAATTTTGTTAAGCTATTTATTGACACATGTGATTTGATAATATGGAACCTCCAGGGCGATTGTAATATTGAACAGGGTTCCATATTATATAAAAGGGTTCCATATTAAAAATAAAAGGATATTGTAATGTGAGCCATTTCATTATTCAGTCATGCTCTAATACTCCAAGTCCCTCTCTGTATTATTTGGGCTTTGAGGCTCAACTTGTCCGATTATTATACATAATTAAACCCCTTAAGACCAAACCTATGTGACGACTATGGTGGAGACACTTTCGCGAACATTCCAGAGTCAACGAGATACTATTTCTAGTCTAAATATAACGTGATAACGTTTCTGGTAAATTCTGGTAATTTTAGTGGAGGAACATTCTAGACCACCAAATTGTATATAAATATTGGTGGATGAGCCATCAGAGTTAGTTGTTATATGGACAGTGAAGATAAATATTAATTAGTAGATAGACAGTGGTGAATATAAATAGTGATCAGTCTAAAGACATTCGAAGTATATATAAATTAGAATAGTTGTGTTATAAAATAAATAAGTGTTTAAATAAATTATTAATAAATAAACTGTTGTTTTAAAGTAAACAAACATCACAATATGTTAAATTGCAGGTGCTGAGATACCTCTCAGGTTACGATCACCAAAAACCAAATCCAAAAGGAAAACCTGGGACAAGGATGCTATGAGTGAAGCTGTTAAATTGGTTCGTGCTAAGACAATTGGACTCAAGGAAGCTGTGAAAAGGTTTAACGTGCCGAAAACAACACTCCAGCGACTTGTGCACGATGAAGCATATACACTAGAGAAAATTGTCGAAAAAAAGCTGGGTAGGAAACCAGTCCTTCCCATACACATTGAAAATGATTTGCTTTTGATGGAGAGCAAATATTACGGACTTACTCGCTGTGACGTTAAAATAATGGTTTATCAGCTAGCTGTAAGAAACGGATTCAATCATTCATTTGGTGACAAATCAGAGGCTGGTCGTGCTTGGTTGGACCATTACTTCTATCTATCTATCTATCTATCTGAATTAGGGCGTGGTTCAAAGCCCACTTGTACTGAAGATCTAGGCTTATTGTACCCCTCACATATTCTACATAGGGAGTCATCAGATATCCCTAAGAGATTTAGGTGTCTTCTAAGGCTGCAGTGTCCCGTAAGGAGTCCTATTACGGCCTTGAGTTCGCTTCTGCTAAGGTTTAGCAGTTGATGTTGTCTGCTCGTGGATGGCCCCATTACTTACTGCGTCTTAAAGATATATGTCTGTTCGTAAGCCTACTGGAACTTCTTACACCAGAGCCAACAGCTTCAATAAAGAATCAGTTTTTGATATTCTTGATATGGAATATGACCGGAAAAAATATTATATTCAATGTGGATGAGATGGGTTTGTCCATAGTACATAGCAAAATACCTCATATCATAGGTTTAAAAGACAAACGAAAAATCGGTGAGCTGACAGCCGCTGAAAGAGGTTCATTGGTAACCGTTATTTGCTGTATGAGCGCAGGGGTACTTCATACCCCCTATGATGATTTTTTCCTGGATAAATATGACTGAAACCCTTATGCGAGGCGCACCTGCTGGAATTTTGGGTAGATGTCATCCTTCGAGCTGGGTACAAACCAACTTCTTCACCGACTGGTTTAAGCACTTCATAAAATATACTAAACCTTCGGAAGAATCTCCGAGATTACTTCTTTTGGACGGGCATTACTCGCATACGCGAAATATTGAAATTATAGACCTGGCAAGAGAAAACTACATTACCACAGATTGCCTTCCTCCTCACGCCACACATAGACTGCAGCCCTTGGATCAAACCTTTATGGGGGCATTAAAGAGTCATTACAGTGAAGCAATTCGAATTGCATTGTCACAGTGAACGTCCTCTGGGACCTTATGATATTGCTGAACTTTTTGGGGAAGCCTACTTAAACTGTCAAACAGCAAGCATAGCAATAGTTTTTAGAGAACAGGGATAGAGTTTTTACGGAGGCATACTTCATCGAAGCCTTAACTAAGACTTCCAGTGAACGGGCTTTAAATAATGTTGCAGCTAACCCTGTTTTCTCTCGAATTGCAGCTAGAAATTCGCTTTAAACCGGTACCCACAACTTTCAGATCAGCGAAATTGATCTGACAGAAGCAAGATGCAGTTCAACTCCAGATGTGAGACCAAATACGCCACATACCCTCGTTTCACCTGCAGAAATTTTACCAGTTCCACAACCGAAGAAAAAAATGCCAAACAGAAGACGAAAAGCTTCTTCTGCTGCAGTTTCAACCAGCTTCTTTTACAAAACAGAATTGGAGACATCAATCACTAAATCTGATGGGCGAAAATTGAGATCTTTTGTCGCCCATCAGATTTAGTGATTGATGTCTCCATTTCTGTTTTGTAAGGAGAGCTGGTTAAAACTGCAGCAGAAAAAGCTTTTCGTACTCGCTTAGGGAGCGTTACTGTTGCTAGAAAAGGTCGCGGGAGTCACCAAAATTCCAACTGTGGGCTTAAGAGGTCAAAAATCTGCACAGATATTGGAAGTTGCCGTAAAACATCAAAGAAACAACCTGGTGAATCGTCCGACTCTGATCAAAATGGTCTTAGCAGTGTTTCTTCAGGTTCTTCCAATGATATGAGCATTCCACCTGGAGAAATTCCATCAGCAGAGGATGATGCTGTGTGCATATTTTGTGACCAGATGATTTCTAAAGACGCACGAGGCGAACTGTGGATTCAGTGCCTAATGTGCCACTTATGGGTATATAACGAGTGTTCTGATGGGTGTGACAAAGATGCCTACATCTGTGACTTCTGTCGATCGTAACCATTTTTTTTAGTTTTTATATATTTTTTATGTTAATAATGCATTTTTAAATAAAGGAATTTAGTTGTTCTGTGACCCATTCTTAATGAAACACCCTGTATATACAATTATTGAGTCATTTATCCTTTCATCTTCTGTATTACTCGCATTGTAGTGCATTGCACTACCAGAACGGAGCATGTTAGGATTGTGCATATAATCCTGCTAATTTATTTAGTGTTAGACCATCCTGGAAACTTCATCAAATACAAAAAAAAAAGAATAGGAGTTAAAACATTAAAAAAAGGTTGTGATAGACTTTCATCACAAAACCCAAAATTTCTAGTGAAAGTAATTTAAAGCTACTCAGCCGATCGAGTGGAACTTCCTTAAGTTACTGCTCAGAGGTCTCGTGTGCCAGCTGATGTGATCGATAACCTCAACAGACTTATGGAACTTTACCCATTTTGCAACAATAGAAGAGCACTTAAATGATGCCAGAATGGACTTCACTTCAGGGTAACTATTCTTGAATTCGAGGGAATAGAAAACCGGTTTTTCCTCCTTATCTGTATTTGTATTTTCGTCTCAATCTTCCCTCAAAATTTCTACTCACTGAAATTCAAGAATAGATACCTAGAAATGTACCAATCTCTAGGGTTGAATCGTACAAAGCAATGGTTAAGCCAAACGAAGGAGGGCTTGAAAAAAATGGGTACAAGAGAAAAAGGACTAATTCTTCGACGACTGAAAAGGCAAAAGGAACCCGATAGGAGAAGAAACGGAAGATGAAACATTTTACAGCATATTCTGCGAACTTCTGATAGATCGTGCAACGTCGCGATCTTTAAATCGCGACTGCATCGCGGACCGCGGCTCGCGGTTTCCCGAATCAGGCCGAACGTCAGAAAAGTCGCTTGGAACAAAACGTGGTCGGGATGCTGTTGGTTAGACAGTCTGCGGTCAACTCGTTCGAAGTTGGCACGGTTAAGTCCGGTCTGTAAACAAGAGCGTGAAGAGAGTGGTGTGCAGTGGGGTGATTTCACTGAATTAAAGGGATAGTTTCGATTGTATTTTTATATTTTTTGGTTTTTCATGTTCCTGCATTGAGGAAAAATGGAAAATAAAAATTTCATCCCTGATAGCGTAAGTGTCTGACATTGTTTATTTACCCCCCTTTGAAAATAATAAAAATAATACAAATGCTGAATGGATTATTTAAAAACAAACAGCTGATTATTTTTTAATCTACCTTCTGATTGGTTTTATTTAAAAGATTTTCGTATTAAAAATTTATCAAAAATTTAAAAAAATACATACCTATTCGGTTTAAATTATTTGTTGTTTAATTATTATAAAAACGTCTATATCTCTTTCATGACCACCTGAAATGACGCCAACAATGCTTTTGAAATGGGAAAACGAATTAGAATTATATTTTTAACAATAAAAAATTACAAAAATATCATTTTTATAGATTAAAAAAAATTATATTTTAAATTGAATTGGTCATGTAATTAATTTAAAAGACCAAATTCTTTTTTTTTTTTTCATTTAGGTACGTAATCATTTTTAAAATTTCAATTTGAAGCAATTAAAATAGATTCTTTAGTTCCATATTTAATAAAATTTTACTGTCATTAAAATCAAAAAATTATAACTTATTTAAAAATTAAATTTAAAAAATATAAAACTAGGTTTCTTTCGTAACCAGTCATAGGTATCTCTAATATAATGTTGTTGATTTGTGAAAATAAATAAACTTTTTATATTATATACATTACAAAACTGAATAAAAAAGTGTTCTTACTATTAAAAATACCTAATTATAAAAAGTACTACAGAAAATACAATTTAAAAATAATATAGAAGTAGGTTTCTTTCGCAACCACTCATAGAAATCTCTGATTAATTGGTTTTGAATTGTAAAAATTAAATTAAATTTCTTTATTTATAAATATAAGGATAATTAAAAAAATATATTTGAAATATTTATAATTTATTTACTATTTTGATAAGCAAAGAAAAAATGAAACAAAATGTATTAATTACAAAACAATTATATAGGTAATGACTTTATATTTTTGTTTGTACTTTTTATAATTTTTATAAAAAATACTTCAATATGTAGATAAAATATGCGTTATAAGGTCTATATTGAAGACATCCAATGAAACTAGACATCTATTTGCACATTTGCAGAAAGATATAAGGGTTTTAAGTGCCACAAATTGTGGTTGATGATCCATTACAATGGCTCATATAATTAAATTTTTATATACCTATTAAAATTTTAATGGAATTTATTTAATTCCTCAATTATTGAAACAAAATACATATTTTTATTTACATCTTTATTGTTATATCTATTTTTAGATCTTTAATGACTAACATGAAAATAATAAAAAAAATATATAAAAATAGATTTCTATCGTAACCATATATAGGTATCTTTGGTTGTTTATTTGTAAAAAGTTTATTTTCCTCTATTTATAACTATAAACAAATAAACTACACCATTTTACTTTTTTTTACTCTACATTTACAAAATAGAGTATTATTCAACAAGTTATGAAAGAAATTTAAAAAAACAAAAACCACAATCGTGCAGACACCATTACAAATTGAGTTTCTTGATTTTATCATAGTCCCCATCGTCAGATCTTGACCAAATGTACATGGGACCATCCCTGAGGTATCCCTTTTCTAATAAAAAAAGAATAATAGAAATTGGAAAACGTGCTAAAGAATTATAGCGGAACATACATAAAAAATTAAGAGTATGATGATTTTCTCATGAACGTCATTACTAAATCTTAACCAAATTTATATGAGACTACCCTGAGGTACCCCTTTCTAACAAAAAATAATTCATATAAATCGGACAAAATGGTAAAGAATTATAGCTGAACATACATCAAAAAAATATTCAGACGAATTGAAAACCTCCCCAAAAAAATACATTCCTATGAAATTCTGAGACAATACAAAGGTGTCTTAGTGCCCTTCAGTGATGTACAAAATTTGAAGGTCATTGCCGAAAAGATAGATTATATATTTATTTATTTGGGTTACACCATCCAACAGTATAAAACCAACTTTCAGGGTGGGCACAAAAATAGTTACACTTATGTACATCATAAAAATAATAACAAAATATTAAATATTAATAATAGCATAAATATATGTACATATAAACAAAAAATAGGTAGTTTACTAAACGTTTTAACCATCATAAGAAAACACAAAAAACAACTCCGTTAGGAGAAAAAATTACCTTATTTTATATGATAATTAATTTAATCTACAACTATGCGTTTTATTTCTTTAATTGAAATAGAAAATAAATCAACATCATTTTGAAGTTCACAAAAAGTTTGATACATAAATACATTGGAGAAAATTTTAAAATATTTGTCTTGGGAGTTTGAAAATAGAAATACAAACGGAAGCGAGTTCCGATACTAGGAACATTAAACATTAGTTGACGAAGTAGTTCGGGACAGTAAATTTTATAATTTAATAATTTGTAAAGAAAACAGATGAAATAACATTTCCTGCGAGTACGTAACTCAAGGATATCTAATCTATTCAGCAAGATGGTTTGCGGAATATTGCGAGTAGGGTAGACGCCATCTAGCTTGCACCACAAATATTTGACAAATTTTCGCTGAATTTTTTCTAATGTCTGACTATGTACTTCATATCCAGGACTCCAAACAATGGACGCATATTCTAGCTTACTACGTACAAAAGCGTTAAAAATAGTTTTTAAAGTGTTAGGCTCAGAGAACTGGCGCCTATTTCGAATAACAAAACCCATATTTATGTATGCTTCTTTCTGAATAGTACTGACATGTTCAATAAAGTTTAACTTAGCGTCGAAAAGAACACCAAGATCTCTAAAAGAAAGACATTTATTGATTTTATTATTGTTAACAGTGAAATTATACTCAATCGGATTTAGTTTACGAGTGAAGCTGATAGAATTGCACTTAGATATGTTTAGTGGTAAGTTGTTAGAATTACATCAAAGGTTCAATTTATTTAAGTTCTCCTGCATAATCAAACAGTCATCAATACTGGAGATTGATTTAAACAATTTTAAATCATCGGCATAAGTATTACATGATAGGTTTTCAGTAATGTCATTTACAAAAATGAAAAATAAAAGTGGTCCTAGAACTAAACCTTGAGGGACACCGGAAGAAGCTTTTTTACAAATTGACCGAAAACCATGGTATTCAACTTTCAATTTACGATTACTTAAATATGATTCAAAGAACCGCAAAAAAGACGACGTGAGTCCAATGGAAAGCTTGTTCAAAAGTATACTATGATCGAGGCGATCAAATGCCTTGGAAGTCAGTATATATAGCTTCAACCTGGCCACCCCTATCAAGGTTTTCCGCAAAATATTGTGTAAAGCATATCAGATTGGTCTCTGTGGATCTGCCTGGAAAAAAGCCGTGCTGTGCCGCATATATAATCGATTTTACATTAGCAAAAGTATTTCATAAATGACATTTTCGAAAACTTTTCCAAAATTTCAAAGGATATATATAGATCTGTAGTTTTCTATGATAGATTTGGATCCTTTCTTAAAGATTGGACAGATTTTAGATATCTTCCAATAACTTGGAAAATTCCCTTCTCGTAAGGGCATATTAAAGACCATGGTTAAAGGTTTGGCTAAAATATTTGCACAATCTCTTATTAAAAATGCCGGAATATTATCTGGTCCTCTAGTATTTTTAGGTTTCAATCTTTTAAGACCTTTAATGACATCTTCTTCTGTAAATAGCGGAATGTTACAACTATTAATATTAACAACATTATCTAGTTTAGACATATCAATTTTAGACGAATTAGTGTACGATGACTGAAAATATGTTGCAAGAGCATTGACAATGTCTTGTGAATTATTTAAAGGATTATTATCAAAACTAACATTTGGTATACTACTGCAGTTTTTCCTTGAATTTATATACTGCCAAAAATAATTGTGGTTAGAAGATATTCTATTCTTAATATTTGTCAAATAATTCCTGTAACTTATTAAAATGTCGTGTTATATTTTGATCTGAAGCTACTCATGAGATAGTGGTGCATATTCCTTAATAATAATTTTCCATACTCATGTCCGTTGAGCAAATTACTTATTTTTTTGTTGTCTATATTATCTGATTTCCTACTTGCAAAACCAACACTTTCAAGGTCTTTCAAGATCAAATAACTTTGCATCCAATAATATTAGGCGTTCCACAGGAAGTGCACTTTTTTTTAATGACTTTTTCATAAGTGTTTTACATTTATCTAGGACATTTGATTTTCCTATTTCCCTGCTATAGGAGTTATCCTCCTTCTCAGGGTGGTCTGCCCTGATTACAAAAGTAACCCTGGTGTCGTGTGCGCGTGTGGGACCTGTGTGGCAGGTTGTGTTCCCCAAAAATATCGCCAATTTTGCTATTTCCAACCCCATAAATGGACAAGTCCAAGTATAGGGTGGGGAATATGATTTATATAGGAAAACCACAAAACCTAAATCACGATATTGTACATATATTGTGAATTTCTAATTATATGATTGGGAAGGGTTTATCTGATGCTTAGGGGGGCTGATTCCAGCAGATGCTGGAGTTCAGCGGTGAGGGGGAGGTCTTGGGAGTCTGAGAGAAGTCTCAGATTAGGTTGTGGCATTTTTCTTTTCGGTTTTCGAAAAAGAGGAAATTGGCTAGTGCCCATGGGGTTCGTAGAGTGTCTTGAGAGTGTGTGTTGGTGTCTTTCAGCGTGTGAGAGACGTATTGTTTCCTGAGGGTTTGGAAACGTGTGAGGATGGGGAGCCAGAGGGGAGACATTGGCAACTTTGCCCCATCAATTGTTATACACAGCTGACATTCCAAATGATACTGCTGTCTTGGTATCTCATCATCAAGATCCTGTTATTGCTTGTCAAATCTAACAGGCCAAGTGAATGAAACTAAATCAATTCATGTTACTTACACTCAACGAAAAGGAATCTGCCCACCTGGATATCAAAGAGAAAATGCAAAATACCTCGGAATTTACCTGGACTGGATTTACTAAGAGAAAAAAAAAATAGGTCTAAAATTGTATTGGATAATAGGTCGTAGATACCAACTAAA